AAACATTTTTTTTTAAATGTAACTTTCTTTTAATTCCAGATCACAGAGAGAACAGAATCCTTGAATCGATCTTTAAAGAAGAGGTGAGTTCATTCATCAACATAAAATTAGTAATACGACTCAGCAAATGAGAAAGTGCACAATCTACTTGACATTCTTGGCCTCAGTGTGTTTGCAATAAATGGCAGATTCTTGACAAAAACTTACAAGTATGTTGGCAAAATGGCTGTTGACTAAATGTAAATATTGACATGGTGGCATAGGTCACTGTGATATTTTGTTAGTCCATTGCCTTGTCAGCAATGATTTATGGGTCGGCTAACTTTAACCAGATGTGGAGAGTACACTTTTCCTGATGTCTGCTAAGATATTATTTTGAATACAAACACAAATTAGACTTATCTATACATACAAAACATTCAGGACACTATGTGAAATACTACTAGTACTACTACTACTACTACTAATAAAAAGTTATGTATTTTGATTTGTTACTTTTTTGGTAAATGTCATGTTAGATGGTTGCAATTTTGTAGGTTTTTTAAAAATTTTAATATATGTATTGTGACGATATATGGTAGCCTTACAAAAATGATAAGATTGAGCATAATTGAATGCATTTTGCCTGTTCTTTTTAGTATTATTACTATTATAGTATTTATTATATATTTATATGAAGATTTTCAATTTTCATTTTAAATTTTGATTATTTTTTTCTTATTTTTTTTATATTTCTATATACTATATATTCCCAAATACAATATGCTTTATTTTTATTTCAGTTTTAGTAATGTTAGTACTTCTAACTTTTACTTATCTTATTATTTTATAAGTTTTTCAGCTAATATGCATATTGCATTTTAAAACTTTGCATATTTTTAAAACTTTTTTTTTTTTTTTTGTAATTAACAAAACGACACTGGTTCATATGAATCTTTGTTTCGAAAACAGCAACAGTTTCAAGAAGACCCAGAGACCCGTACTTCTGCCCAAGATTGATGACAAACTGGAACAATACACTCATGCAATTGAGGTTCAATTGTCTTATATCTTGTTATGTTATGCTTTTTTATGTATTGATGATATTTATGTTAATCTGTAGTCAAAGTGTGGACAGTAAATTCTTATTTTATTATCTAATGCCTGGTTTAAGAATGATCTCTTAGTCAAACCATTATTTAGAGAAATCAGGCCTGTCTCTGGCAGCATTTAAACAAATGGATCAGATGGTTTATATTTAGAGTGATTCAATGGGATCTCTTGTTGTACCGCCTCCTGAGAGTCTTTTGCTACATTTGCAGTATTTCTTTAGAAACAATTAATCGCTCTGACTCACTGAGCCTAACTGTCTTAATGGATTGCAGATCTCCTCTAAAGACGCAAAATTGACTAAGTCAGCAGCAGTTGACATGCCCAGTGTCTCTGCTCCAGTGACCTCCAAAAAAAACCTGTTTGAAGCAGGAGAGGCCTGGAGTCAAAGCAGCCCGAAAGGAACACCTTTGAAGGTCAGAAATCAGATCTCATTTCATTCAATGACTCACACCCAAAAAGGAAAACTCGGTCATCACTCACTTACCTTCACGTTGTTTCAGAAAAACAAACATTTTGAATATTGTACTGGTCGTTCTTACAAAGGGTGCTAAACCTTTCAAGCATGATAAAATCATAAAAATGCTCTGCGTTCTGTACTTCAAGTCTTTATGGGAGTAATAGTGGAGGAAGCATTCAGGAAAATGTCCAACTAATAAGAAATCAGCTGTTTCATATCACCCCTTTAAATATTATGAGGGAAAACAGTGATGTCAGCGCACTTCTATTATTGCTTTGAATGAGTCTTAGATTGTGCAAGTTTGGAGGTCAAGAGGCGGCTCCAGCGTCGCAGCGGCGGCAGCGTGAGATAGGTCATGTAGTCATGTAGTGTGGAACAACATCTGCTCTTTACACCTTCACATTCACACCCACACTATCGGTTTGCCAGAGTCTGACACACATGAACGACCATCAATGGGAAGCTCTTGTGCAGGAATTCTTGGGAAATGTTAGCCAGATCAATCATAACCTTATGAATTGTGCTTCACCGCTCCATCAACATATGAAGCCAAAACTAAAACATACAAAAAAGAAAATCATTTAGATTATTTGTAATTCAGTTTTGTTATACATGCTGTTCTGTAACGGTTTTATATTTTTAGGATACAGACTGTGTGAAAGTGGGTGTAGCAAACCTGATCAACCATTGGGTGAAAGGAAGTCCAGAAGGCGGGAACAGACACTCCCCTTCCACACCATCTGTAAGTCTATTAATGAACCTTGAAAATCTTTAGATGGTAACCAATGTGCTGGGGAGAGATACATGTATTTGTCCCATGGTGGAATGGAGAAATTAACTAATAATTTCATTGGCATATTTTTTGAAAGACCGAGACTGACGTTTCTGTGTAGAACAGATGTGTTAATTTACATGTAGTCAAAAAATGAATATATATACAGTAAAATAACAAAAAGGTACATTTATGTTGCCCCCTTGTGGTAGAGTGAGCTACTGCATCTTCAATTATTTTCCGAAAAACAAAAACAGTTAATCAATCATCATGTCCGGTATACCGCAATGTTCTTTGATGGGTGTATGTGGTTTATAATGTTAGCGGTTAAGGTCTGAAGAAAAAACCTTAAGATCATCACATCCAGATGTAATGAACATTGTTTCTATGAAACATAAGAGCTTTTGAAGACCAGAAAAAAAGGCTACATGATTGAATTTCATCTTTGAATCATTGAGTGATAATAGATTATGAACATCTGGTTTATGTCAAATAAATAGTTCGCCCAAAGTCGTTTACACACCCTCATGTTGTTCCAAACCTTTTTGATTTACTTATTGTGGAAAACAAAACGAGTAATTCTGAAGACTGTGCTGGTTTCTCTTTTTCATGCAATTGCAACGAATGGGGACTGAAGCTTTCGAGTTTCTAAAAGGACAAAAAAAGCACCATTAAAAGTCATTTATACTACTTCTACACTATATTCCAAGTCTTCTGAAGTGATTCAATAACTTGTTTGTAAGAAACTGAGAAATTTCAGTGAAATTAATGAGTTTGTTAATCCGGTTCCCAATATCAACCTTAATGACTCAAAGAATCAGGCTAATCTGGTTCTTGAGTTCAACTCAATGACTCAATGGTCTAGTCAGTTAATCAGTGAAAAATTACTTAGATTTCAGGTCAACATAAAAGGATATTGGGGTACAACAGCAGATTTAGGAAAATAAAGTCATTCTTAACAAATGCTCTCTAATGTTTTTTTCCAGGATGTTAAACCTGGAGATGTTCTGCAGAAAAAGAACATGTGGGAAATTTTTGGAGAAGGTTCTGCAGGAGAGAGGTCAGGACTGGGAGGAAAGGTAAATATTCAGATAAAATCTTGTACTGATAAACCTTAAAATGATTTGAAAAGTTAAATGAATCTCTTGCTTAATGCCACTCTCATTATTTCTTCTACTCACCTTTTATATTGTAGGGCTCCTCCTCTGGTAAACGGTACAAGTTTGTTGTGACAGGCCATGGAAAATACGAGAAGATTTCCACTGATGGTGATCATTACAGTGTCTACCCGAATGGAAAAGCAAGTGAGGCGCTTTCTTCTATTTTACATAGTTTAAAGCTAACAAAACAGTTCACATGTACATTAGTTTATTTAATGAGTAAAAGTAAAAGAGCTTAAAATTTGTTTCTTTAAATAAAAAATGCCAAAAACAACAACAACAATATGGATACATGGTCTTGATGCCTTTTTGCAGGCCAACAAAGGCATGCTAGGTAATGTTATCTAATATGAACTAGCTACAAAGCTAGTACCAAACTAGCTACATAGCAAGCTAGCTAAGATTAGCTTAAAATAGGCCTACTGACTGTTGTAGCATTAGAGCATAAAATATGCTTTTAGAATACTTTGAAAAGACACAAAAACCCAGAGCGACTCAATTTCCAGTGCCTTATGGGATGATATCCATTTCCCCCAAGTACATAAATGAGAGCTCTAAAAAGTCATATCACTCATGTCATTGTTCTAATTCAAAAGATTCTTGAAATAAGAATATCACATAAAAAGTTAAGATGCTATCGCAAGTATACTTTTGAGAGCTAATATAATTCATTTTAAAATAGACCTGAAATTTTTTACATTTTTAAATCTCGCTGTCTAAATGTTTTTCATACACCTGTTTGATAATACATTGATAATATATCTCAAACAAATCACAGCAAGCTTCTAACACAATGCAAATGTTTCCATTCAATGGCTAGTGTCATAAAAGTAGTCATACAAAATATCCTCTCTCAAAACAGGTATTTTATTAAAAAAAAATAAAAAATAACATTAAATCTAGTACAGTGCACCTTAGAATGCAAAGCATTATACACATCAGCATCAGTAAAGAGAAAATATTCTCAGTCTGACGGTTTCTGCAACAAAAGACAAACATGCAAAAAAGGCCAAGCCTACAAACTTAACATTACCTAAACCTGAAATAAGAACATGCATGAGTTGGAGTTGACAATCAGCATTCACTGTTATTCATTTAATCATACTGAAGCAACGAGAGCATTTATATTAAAGGTTTGGAAAGCCCCTTTTGAGGCTCCACCAGTGAAAGCTCTTTGTCAACACTACGCCCCAAGCAGAGTGCGCCATGCCTTGCTTTCTGTACTAATAAGGCTTAGAACAAATTTCCAAAACTTAGCATACTTACTGTATACATCTCTTTCTTATACTACCTCTTAATTCTTTCTTCCGCAGTTAACTGGTTCCACTTGCCCACCCACCTAAAACTCACTCTCAATTGTCCCTACACCTTAAAAAACATACAATAGCAATTTGTCCCTTAACACCATGTTAACTTGTATATATATACTGTATATCTTATCCTCACAAAGATTTGTTACGCCCCATTAAGCACCATAGAATACTGGCTGTAGAAAAATATTGCTGAGAAAAAGGTGTGGTGTATTTTATTGTAATGTTAAAAAAGAATACTGTAGGGTAACTAAAAATTTTCGATACCTAAAACCTGCATTATATTTTACATGTTCATACCCCAAAACACTCTCTTGATTTTGCTTAGATTTTGTCTCTTGTGGCAGGCTGGAGTGATATTTCTGTATTATTAAATCATTTAAATTATTATTATTATTATTTTTTGATGAAGGTGTTCAGGGATGTAAGTATTATCAAAATTATAACCATATTTAACATGCTCATAAAAAATGCCGAGATGAGCTTTGAAAGTCTTAAGCAATAAACTCTTTAATTTAAAAGCTTCAAAACGATATGATTTCTCTTTATTCAGTATTCTAATTAGCTTAAATGGCTAATGCCAGTTGACAAGTGGGCAATTACCTACTGCAAATAAGTTACTGTGCATTTGACAGATAGTCATTTTTTAGTTTACTTGCCAATTGACCGGTTATAAAGTTATAAAAGCATATGTAAAGAATTGGACAGGATAATAAACAGAACTCAACCATCGCAATGAAAGCTAACACCATCCTTGCCCACTATTTATATGTTATCCAGTTAGACGTCAGTTGTTTAAGAAGTACTGAAGCCTTTGGCTGTTCTATTAAAGTCTTTTGGTTCTTCGTCTTTATTTTTGCGGCCTATGAGTCCCATTTCAAAAACTGTTGCAATCTTTGTTGCTGGTCGCGAAACTGCCTCTCTTAGTCGTCTGGCATCAAACCGCGGGCTGTACAGGAGAACTGGCAAACGATGCGCAAATGTGGGAATCTCTTTTGGCATCTTCTGTTCTGCCTCCATCTTCTTTTGCTCCTCGGTTTTATTGGCTTCAATTTGTTGCATTATATTCTCTTTGGTGGAGAACATTTGGAAGAGGACAGCATCCCACATTTTTGCTGCCCTTGGGGAGTCTCTACTGTCCTGGCTGTCAGTAGGCTTAGCTTCGGCTTCAGACTTATTTTGCATTTCACTTACATTTTGATCAGCGCTGGCAGGGACATCTTTCTTTGACGCAGGCTCTTCCTCTGGAAACTTGGGCTCCTCTGCTTCAACCACCATATGTTTCTTAAGGCGAGACCAGCCACTGAGTTTTGACTTCATGCCTTTTGGTTTCTGCATCACCTTCAAGAGAGGCTCTGCAGTTAGGGAGGAGCCTTCCTCACCCTCCTCCTTCTTTTCCACTGCAGACCTGATCTCCTGTTGTGGGCTAGCTTTTGTCTCCACTCTGTCAACCTTTTCAGGTTTGGTATCCTTTGTTTCAAGGTTCTCTTGGTCTTCTCTTGGTTTAGCCAGTAGCTTAACCACATCTTTAACCTCTCCTTTTTCAGGAGGTTTTTCAGAAGAAGCAGCTTCAAGCTTCTGCTTCTTAATTCTCTCTAACAAAGACATTTTTGCCTCTGTTGGCTTCTCTGTTACTTTGGTTGTTTCGGCATTAACTTTACCTTCTGACACCTTTGGAAGAGCTGGCTTTCCCACATCTTGGTCGGATAATAGCACAGCCTTACTAGCAGATTTCGGAGTTACCTTCACTGTTGGAGGGGTTGGTGTCATTTGGGAAAGTCTGGGAGATCCATAGGTTGGAGTTCTGACTCTTGGTGTCACAGTACTTATTGGCTCTGCTTTTGCTTCTGATGGTGGTGTGTCAGCTACAGATACCACAATAGTTGGAATTTTAACATCAGGAATTTTTGCTTTTAATTCTGGCACAGTTGACTTGGGAATGTCCCTTACAGAGTTTGCTTCTAGCATAGAGGCTAACTTTGAAACCTCTGGAGGTGGAGCCACCACAGCGGTTTCCTCTTTAACAACACCAGCCTGAGGTGGCAGGACTTCAACTTGTTCTTTAGGCTTTACCTCAGACTTGTCATTCGTCATGGTCACATTTACATCAGGTTGAGGTACTATTTGTTCCTGTTTTGAAAGGTGAGTTGCCTCTGCACTTGGTAGTGCAGTTGATGTAGAAATGCTAAAACTGGGTGTGTAACTCTTTATTCCTCCATGGGCAACATATTCAGAGGGAGTCAATCCATAATATGTTGGTTTGGATTTAGGTGCTGTTGGTGTTTTGGGTCTTTGACCGGCAAATGGAGGGACTCTAGATAACGTTTTTTGATACCCAACTGAGGATAAAGCAGGCTGTGCAGGTTCAGTCTTGGGTGTTGTTGGGGTTTTAGGCTTTGGCTGCTCATTTGGGCTTTTCTGTATTTGGGCCTTTGGCTTTGATGACTCAAGTTTTGAAAGGTTTTCTGTGGTCTTATCCAGCTTTTCTTGTAAGGGTTCAGTTGATTTGACATCTATGTCCCCATTTTGTAATATTTCTGAATGACTGGTGTCATTCACTTGATTTGATATTTTATGCATTTCATTGTGTGGACCATTCAAACTTGAGGTTGGCGTTTTGGATCTTCTGCCCTCCATGTGCACAGGAGACACAGCAAATAAAAGTGGATTTGGTCTTGAAATCTCAATCACAGGTACTCTAACATGTGACACATTACCTGAAGGTGTCTTGGGACGCCCTGAAGGTGTTTTTGTTGAAATAAAGTCAAATGTTGGTGTCTTTACTCTTGTTGGTGTTGTAGCCCCCTTTGCCTCAAGTGTTGGAGTTGTACTCCATTTTGCCTCAGGTGTCAGTGTTGCATTTTGTTTAGTCTCTGAAGCAGGAGTACTGACCCTTTTCATTTCAGAAGATGGAATTGTCTCTTTCTTGACTTCAGAAGTTGGAGTTTGGCTTTTCTTAATTTCTGAAGTTGGGGTTGTAATCCTCTTGACTTCAAATGTTGGTGTTGTAACCCTTCTGATCTCTCTGGTTGGTGTTCTGTCTCTTCTTATTTCAGATGTTGGTGTCACTATCCTTCTAACCTCAAATGTTGGCGTTGGGCCTCTCAGTAACTCTGCAGTAGGTGTTTTACTCCTTGTTGGTGATGCATGAGGCGTTCTCACACCTACTGTCTTTGCTGTGTAATTGGTGATTTGAGGAACTTCAAACAATGGTTTTGCTGTTCTAGAAACATTCAAAGTGGCTGGCTGAGGGCTTGGAGATTTAGAGGTTACATGAGTGGTAAGATCTGAGCTGACTTCCACTCTTTGTGAAGTTTGTAGAATAGTGACTGGAACAGGTTCATGTGTGTCAAGTCCTGGTACTGGTGAGGCTGTGTATTGAAATGCTGGAGACCGGCGTTGGTGAGCCGCATATGGTTGTGGTGAAAATCTTGCTGTCTTGCCGTAAGTGAATCCTCTGTGATGAGGATAAGGAGACGACACATGCTGATACAGTGGTCGGACGTTGAAGCGTGGGTGTACCGTGCCAATGTAGTAAGGTGTCTCTGGAGTCTTAGGAGGAGTTGAGTGATCACTGTGCTCCAAGTCAGGGCTCGCTTCATTTACTGGAGAGAGGCTTGAGCGGAAGGGGACCGACGGTTGTGAGGCCTGGGCTGCAGCTTTTTTCTTCGCTGTCTTCTTGAGTAGTTTCTGGAGCCGGACATTTTCTTTCCCAGGTTTGGGACGCAATCTTTTTGCAATAGTGCAAATGTAGGCCACCTGTAAAAGCTTGTAAAAGAAGCTTCCAGCCCAGAGTGACACGAAGAACCATATGAGAAGAGGTCGTCCTTTTAAGGCCCTGGTAGGCTGGGCAGTTTGGAAAATTTCCAAGATGCAAGTTCAAAAGAGGAAAGGGCAAGAATAGCAAAGCAGTAAAATCATGCACAGCATAATTGCTTCTTAGCAACCACCTGGTGAAAAAAGTCGTCATTGTACATATAAAAATATATGCTCCGTGGTAATATGTACACTTATACGCATGTGCTTACCAAGAGATGACTGTAACTGAAGACAGGTGAAGACACTTCAAACGAGGTCCCCTGTACATATAAACATGTATGATTTTTTTTTACATGTCCTTTAAAATAAGCAACTGCATTTTAATAAAGACGTAATATATGGTGACAAGGAAACCAATATCAGTATTATTAATTTCAGTTTTACAGTGCTATATTACAGTCCCTATTGCACAAACCTGTCAAGTTAGCCTGCAACAAACTGCTGAAGCCTTTTCCCAAAGGACAGACATGGCATGCACTTCCATACTAGGCATTCATTTAATAATATCCAGAAGACAAAAATATCAAATTTCAAGCAAATTTTTCTGGGTTTATACCTGTTTGTCTGCTGTTCAGGGGTGGCCGGCGGCTGCCTGCTTGTCCCAGCTTGGACTGTCAGAACGGGAGACTCATATTGAGTTCAACTATTCCCCCTACCTTCAAATGGAAGGCACAGGCTCCATAGCAGTCCAAAAATAAAACCCTGAGTCCGTTACTCAGAATGCATGGAGAGTGGTGACGGTGTAGAGGGAACCATCAGCGAAGCAGGGGGGATCCAGGTCACCTTAGATATCACCAAGTGTCCCCCCTCCCCCATGACACCAGATGCACACCCTCATTTACACAATCTATAAGCACAGCACCCCCTACAGTTAAGAAGAAGCTATTATACTATTTAATATAATTAATGATTATTTATGCATTGTTAATGACAGGCTGGAATCACTACAATTTGTACTTCAATGAATGTGCATCAACAATGTAAAATAAAGTTTAGAGTTACTAAGTCACATCTAATTATTGAATGGCATTTAAATTCAATTTAGAAATGTATTGCCATATTAGTGACCTCAAGACATTTACAATGAAAAAAAGGAAATGGTATCTGTAAGAAACACTTACACCAGTTGGAGTAAGTTGGAATACAACTCATATCATTTCAGTTTCATATCACTGAGGAGTTCCTAACACAACATATGCGGACTTGGGAGCGAGCCCTGGGGAACACCCCAACACTTTGTCTGAAGCATCTATCCATTATTTTGAAAATAACACCAAAAGGCAAGCGGATCACACTCACATTCATCCCATTCAGAAAATGTGTTAATTGTGCTTACGTAGTACCACAGCAAATATAGCAACAGTGTCTCGGCCCACTCCTCCAAACTTACGCCTCTGTTACATTTCCTCAAACCCTCGTCCATCTCCTTATTCAGTGCCTGGGCCAAGATCTGGACCTTCCCTTCTTAACCCTTCCCACTACAGAATCTCCACCAATGGGATATTTTCACAGATCAAGTGTCACTATAACAGAAAGAC